TTTGATATTTTAGTAGTATCAATATTTCATTTTTGGTATGTTGGGTTGCATTGGTACTAGGTCTTAATTTAGCATATTATATGAAACTGAGCAGATGCATTATGAATCACTTTTACTTTGTGAACTGTTTTTATACTTGATACTGTTTCACATACATTTTACACTAGGTAGTTGAGCTGTCTATTTCAGGAAACTGATATTGAAGAATGAAATGCAAAATTAGTTAAAGACAGTTATTGGTTGTGTCTGTTGTTTTGAGTTTGTAATTTATTTTAATACAGCCTTGACTTAGATTGTAGTTTTGTCACAGAATGCCAAAGGAGGAGTTTGTTAGGTATTTAATGTAATTGGTTATTCTGTGAACAAAAAGGACTAGAGTTAATATGTTGTAAAAAGTCAAGGAGTAGTGTGCAATTAGTATAAGTTCTGCAATTTTAGGTATAGGGTTCNTTGTATTTGCTTCTATCACATTGTGATCGAAGATTCTCGCCATTCCAAAATCAGAAATTTTGGGGTTCATGTTCTCATCAAGTAATATGTTACCGGCTTTCAAATCTCTGTGAACTATTGGTAATTGTGAGTATTTGTGAAGGTAGACCAATCCTTGAGCAATCCCTTCAATGATGGTGAAACGTGTATCCCAGCTTAGGAGCTCCCTCTTAGTTGGACCTGTCATATACAAATTCTTTTATATTCTTTTTTCACCTTATAAAAGGAAAATTAGAGGCAGAATGCACAATTGTAATTGGAGGATATTAGTAGTGATCATAAAATAATAAAATAAAATTAGCAGTCATGATTTTGTTACATGATTACTAATTTTTGTTACATGACTAATAATTTGAGAATCTATTATTTTCTGTATTATTGATCTATTTTATGTTTTTGTTACAGGTTAGACTTTTAATTTTGTTAATTAGTTTTATTATAAATTTTTTGAAAGGGTTCCTGATATATTATGAACATATTTTTGTATTTTTATATTCTTTTGAATTTGTTAGGTATTTAATGTAATTGGCTATTCTGTGAACAAAAAGAACTAAAGTTGATATGTTGTAAAAAGTCAAGGAGTAGTGTGCAATTAGTATAAGTTGTGATATTTTAGGTCTAGGGTTCGAGAATGGAAAAGAAGAAAAAATGGCGCGAATTTTCGCTAGACTGTCGCCAAGGCTTGACTCGAGCATAAAAAATAGAAACTTCATCGCTCGACTGTCGCTCGACTGTCGCTAGCCCTTCGGTCGCTCGTTGCTAGCTCTTTACTCGAGCGATAGTGCAATCCAGAAAATTTTTTATTTCGTTTTTTAAAGGCTTTTTGTCCGACCCATTCATTCCCTAACCTACATATAAATACTTGAACGCCACAGAACGTAATTTTCCAAGGTTGATTATTGAGAAAAAAAAACCACTGCTTTCATATTCTTTTCATCCTCTGAAACATTCAACCTTCATTATTCAAATTGATATGTTCTTGGCGATGAAAAATATCAGTTTTACAATTCAAATACCAAACTGCTGCTTCGTAAATATCTGTCAGAGTTTTCGAAGATCAAGAGAAAGTGACTGGAGTTTCAGCCATTGGAGAACGCGGTGTTCTTCACCCACAAGAGATAAACAATTTTATAAAATTAGGAGTTGCTGCTGGAGAGCGCAATCTAGGAGAGTTTTGGAAACTGTAGTTGGGAGTTGGTGCAGGAGCACAAAATTGAGGAGAGCTGTTGGAATTGCAGTCAAAAGATCAGATAGTACGTGTCATCGTCTAGTCTGGTAGAAAGTAAGTTAAAAATCGTTTACAGTGGATTGTTGACTACAAAGTGCCTGGAGTTTTCACCCAGTTAGGTTTCTCCGTGATCAATTCTTGTGTTCATTTATTGCTTACATAACTAAGGTATTTCAATGTAGGATTAATTGAATTGCATGTTTAATCATCTAGAAAATAATTATTAGTGACTTGTTGCTAGTTAATTATTAACTATTTTTTTATTCCGCATAATCACCTATTCATCCCCATCTAGGTGTTGTTAGAGTCGAACTGTTGGAGTTGTCTGTTGTTTTGAGTCAGTAATTTATTTTAATATAGCCTTGATTTAGATTGTAGTTTTGTCACAGAATGCCAAAGGAGGAGTTTGTTAGGTATTTAATGTAATTGGGTATCCTGTGAACAAAAAGGACTAGAGTTAATATGTTGTAAAAAGTCAAGGAGTAGTGTGCAATTAGTATAAGTTCTACTATTTTAGGTATAGGGTTCGAGAATGAAAAAGAAGGAAAAACTGCGTCGCAATTTTGCTAGACTGTCGCCATGACTTGGCTCGAGTCGCAGAAATAGANAGAATGAAAAAGAAGGAAAAACGAAGTGGATTTTCGCTAGACTGTCGACAAGGCTTGGCTCGAGCATCTAAAACAAAAATTTCATCGCTCGACTGTCGCCTCACCTTCGCTCGAGCGATCAACTATCGTTAGCCCTTCGCTCGAGCGATAGTGTCATCCGAGAAATTTTTATTTCATTTTTTAAAGGTTTTTTGTTCGGCCCATTCATTCCCTGACCTACATATAAATACTTGAACACTATAGAACGTAATTTTCCAATGTTGATTATTGAGAAAAAGAACCACTGCTTTCATATTTTTTTCATCCTCTGAAGCATTCAACCTTCATTATTCAAATTGATCTATTCTTGGTGGTGAAAAATATCAGTTTCATAATCCAAATACCAAATTGCTGCTTCCTACATATCTGCCAGAGTTTCTGAAGATCAAAGGAAGGTGACTGGAGTTCTAGTCATTGAAGAATGCGGTGTTTTTCGTGAATCCACAGGAGATAGACGATTTCACAAAGTTGAGAATTGCTACATGAGAGCTTTGGAAACTACAGTTGAGAGTTGGTGCAGGAGCACAGAATCCAGGAAAGCTGTTGGAATTGCAGTCAGGAGATCAGATAGTACGTGTTGTCGTCTAATCTGGTAGACTGTAAGTTAAAAATCGTGTATAGTAGATTGTTGAGGGTAAAGTGCCCGGAGTTTTCACCCAATTGGGTTTCTCTGTGATCAATTCTTGTGTACATTTATTGCTTACATAACTGTAGCATTTCAACGTAGGATTAATTGAATTGCATGTTTAATCATCTAGAAAAATAATTAATAGTGACTTGTTGCTAGTTGATTATTAACTAATTTTCTATTCCGCATAATCACATATTCACCCCCCCCCCCC